TTTGGTAAATAGGCTGCAAAGTGCAATCAATGACAATATCCATGAAGCGAGTAATGACAAAAGAAATCAGGAGACGAATACTGAGCAAGCTGATCTCTATGACCTATTCAATCTAGTTTTGTCGTCAGTTCATGAACTAGCCGACAGGCTAATCCATCTTGAAGCTAAGTTCGATAGTGCTGATCTGGTAAAGGAGAAAATAGATCTCAATGAGATAGTGGGAACTATCTCAAGCGTTAATCCCGCGAGGTATGATAATCGACCAGGAAATGTTTATACCGTCCCGACGAAGAATAGGTTCGATGTCCTTGCGGATAATCATGTCACTGACGCTGAGCCTGCTACTTCGATGTCGATTAGTGACCAGATGAAAGAGTACCGAGATGGGCATCGCCAGCGCCGCTTGTCTGAGCTACATGAATCTGTCCTCGAAGGCACAGACGTCGAGCCTCCTACTCCGATGTCGACGAGCGACCAGATGAAAGAGTACCGAGATGGGCATCGCCAGCGCCGCTTGTTGGAGGTACCTGCTGCTGTTTTCAAAGGCACTGACGCAAAGCCTTCGACTTCGATGTCGACGAGCGACCAAACCAATGAGTTCCGACAAGGGCATCGCCAACGCCGCTTGTCTAAGCTACCTGATGTTGTCATCGAAGGCGACTCGATGATTAAGCACATCGAGGGCCGACTCCTGAGCCGAAAACATCGAGTAGTCTGCCATCCGAACCCAGGGGCAACGGTGGCTGATATCTCCTCTAAGAAGGCTACTGAGGGTGTAAAGGCGAAAGGAGACGTCATTCTACATGTTGGGTCAAATGACTTGTCGAAAGGTAATGGTATTACATCCAACGCCGATGACATCATAGCATTAGCAGACGTGATTGCAGCAAAAGGCTGTGATGTATGCTTGTCTGGTGTTGTACACCGCAGATGGGAATCGGTTCACCAGAGGCGCAGTGTCGATGGGGTTAATGGGCGATTGAGAAGAGCTGCCCGTGAAAGGAGATGGGGTTTCGTTGACAACGAAAACATAGGTGACAGGCACCTCGGCAGAGATGGGGTCCACATCAATAAGGCAGGACAAGCTGTTCTTGCCTCTAATCTACGCCACTTTATTGAGCGACCTCAAGGGCCACCTACACCTACTCAGCAAACGTCCTACGCTGAAGTTGTTGGATCTTCAACGCAGGATTTCGAGATGATTGCTCCGAGAGGAAGGCTAAAGTCTGCACCTGCTCTTCCAATGTTTCCACTGACAAAAGCTCAACAGGGGTGGGACGAGCATCTACGTCTTGTCATGGCAACATGCTGTTAAACTCTGTCTCTGATACTGGCATACTACATCATAATCTTCAGGATCAATCTCATGAACTGAATAAGAGTAACATTAAACAGTTGGAAGGTGGTTCAGTTCCTCCGTTTAGAAACAGGGGCTTAACATTTGCCCATTTGAATATTCATAGCTTAGTTGCTAAGATTGACGAACTTAGATTACTTCTGAGAAATGCATCATTTGATGTTATTGGTTTAAATGAAACATTTTGCGACTCCATGATTGATGATTCTGAATTGTATATAGATGATTATATTTTATTACGTAGAGACCGTACGAGACATGGTGGTGGTGTGGCTGTATATGTATCCAAGAGGTTCAATTATAAAAGAAGGGATGATTTGATTTCATCTACTTTAGAATGCCTTTGGTTTGAATTGCATTATCCAAATAAGTCTCCCATCCTGGTTGGAGAGTTTTACAGACCTCCAAATTCTCACGTTGATTTCTTTGAAGAATTAGACGAAAATTTGGACTCTGCTCTCTCGGAAGATATGAGCTGTATTATTTTAGGTGATTTCAATTGTGATTGTATGCCACACCAACTTGATCTGAATGCTGAAAAGTTAATGTTTTATACCAATATGTACGGGCTAAGTCAGCTAATTGATACTGCCACAAGAGTTACAAATACCTCTTCTACTTTAATTGATTTGATATTTGTATCAGACAAGGAACTTTACAATGAATGGGGAATATTTGAAACTAGCATAAGTGATCATTATTTGGTGTATACGGTTCGCGATTTTAGTGCAAAGATCCATAACAAATCTGAATACGCAGAATTTCGCTCGTTTAAAAATCTTGACGAGGAGAAATTTTACAATGAATTGAGAAGTACTCCTTGGCAGGTCATAAAAGATATAGATAATGTTGATGTTGCGTGGGATATGTGGTTGACTCTATTCAATAATATAATCAACAAGCACATACCAGTATGTAAAAAGCGGATAAGAAAAAAGGCATGTCCATGGATATCTGACGAGATTGTTAAGCTTATGACGGAACGTGATAAAGTTCTCAAAGCTGCTAAAGCTAACAAAAGTGATGATCTTTGGGACACCTACAAATATCTAAAGAATACAGTTATTCATCTCATGAGGAAAAGAAAAAGAGAATATAATGCAGACCAGATCTCGCAAAATCATAACAATAGTAAGCAAATGTGGAGATGTTTGAGAAACCTGGTGCCTAAGTCATTACCTATATCTCCCAATAGCATAAATGTTGATGGTGCTAATGTGTCAGACAATGCAAATATTGCTGAAGCTTTTAATGACTTTTTCATTTCTAATGCTACTAAGATTACAAAGGACCTGCGAAGGAATAAGTCTCAACTGAGAGTAGACGAGGACAATAACATTGGTCCAACTCATTCGCAATTTAATTTGAATTTGATTACTGAGGATTTTGTATTGAAACAGATTGATAATCTGAGTATAGATAAAGCAACTGGTGAAGATCACATCAGCTGTAAACTTTTAAAGATGACGAAGAATGTTATCGCAGAGTCTCTTTGTGATATCATTAACAAATCCCTGTCTACAGGAGTTTTTCCACATGAATGGAAAAAGGCTAGGGTAGTACCAATATTCAAATCTGGAGATATTTCTTCTTTGAATAATTACCGCCCCATTTCAATATTACCTATCGTGAGTAAAATTATAGAAAGGGCCGTCCACCAACAACTCAGTGAATTCTTGGACGTGAATCAATTATTACACCCTAATCAGTCTGGATTTAGACCTAAACATTCAACAGCTACTGCCCTTGCAAAACTTGTAAATCAATGGTCGTTGAATATTGATGACAAAGAAATTTCTGGAGTTGCCTTCATAGATCTTCGTAAGGCTTTTGATACTGTTGACCATGAGCTACTTCTACATAAACTAGCTTGTATAGGTTGTAGTAATAGGACTATTTATTGGTTCAAATCATATTTAGGGGATCGACAACAAGTGACCCAATTCAAAGGAGCCAAGTCGCATCCATCAACCATCAAATTAGGTGTGCCACAAGGTTCAATTCTTGGTCCCCTTTTATTTTCAATTTATGTTAATAGTTTACCTGAATGTACTCCTGAAGGTATCATAGATATGTATGCTGACGATACGACACTTACCGTCAGTGCAAATGATGCAACTGTTGTGGAAGAAAAATTAACTGTTGCGTTAAACAGAGTCATGGCATGGATTAAGGAAAATCGTCTTGTTCTTAACACTGAAAAAACTTGTGTCATGTTAATAGGCTCTCCTGCTAATCTCAAGAAAATTGAATCTTTTACCATTTCATTAAACGGCAATTCACCAAATGCTTAGGACTTTTGATAGATGAAGAATTGAAATGGTCTAAACAAATCGAAAACGTAAGTAAACTTACCCAGAAAAACATTAGCATGATAAAGAGACCAAAAAGTTTTTTGCCTCAAAAATCCTTAAAGTTACTTTATAACAGTCTAGTGTTGCCACGATTAGATTACTGCTCTGTTGTATGGTCGAACCGATTTCATTCTCATACAACTAAGCTGCAAAAAATTCAAAAGAGGGCCGCAAGAATAATATTGAACAAGACATATGACACACCGTCGGCTGATTTGTTCACAAGTCTTAAATGGATGACACTAGACAAGCGGTTTGAGTTAAGTCGCGTTATGATGATATATAAATGCGTTCATAACTTAGCACCTTCTTACCTTCAGGTAGGCTTAATCAATCCTAATGATGTACATGAGCATCATACAAGGCAAATAGACAGTGGATGTTTACGTGTGCCTAGAATTCACACTGATTGTTATAAGTGTAGCCCAATTGTTTCTTCCATATTTGAATGGAATAAGCTAGATAATTCATTGAGAACGGCTTCCTCTGTCAATTCATTTAAGAGATTGTTTAAACAAAGTTGTAATTTGTGAATGGCTCAGCCGTACATACACTACGTGCATGTTCTGTAATATTTACATGACTTATTCACATAATTGCGACTTAATTAATATTTTCCTATTGACATTACTGTTTACTAGGTTAATGATTATATTTATTTTGCAAACGAGTATTATTTTTGTAACTGTTCTGTATAAATGTTATAAACGATGTAAATATGTTCATTCAGGGCCCCTTGGAAGACCACTACTTGTTGGTGAATGGGCTACCCTGTCAAAATATTAGAAATAAATAAAATAAATGAATAAAAATGCGTTTGCGTGCCTTGGGGCTCTCTGGGAACAGACGTGCGTGGGTTCGAATGCATTTTGGAAACAGGATTGTGTCTGGGTTACGGTCTACATTATTGTATACACTACTGTAACATGATTGTTCATGTCTACTGCCTCGCTCGGGTGACCTCGTTCAATGACCTCGTTTAATGACCTCAATATTTTAAAGTGACTATTGTCTCATTTCTTTGGTAACAAATTAATTTGCTTGCTGTATTTGCTATTTTTGCTATTTTTGCTTGTTTCACGTTGTATAATCATCTTATGTTAAGGCTTCTTGCCCACCTATTATTACTGTTACGTCCTCTACCATTACAACTACTTCAACCAAATATTAGTTTTATCTATGGGAACCTATAATCTACAAGCTAAGCTTTTTAATATGTTCCTCACATTTCACTCTGTATAACCTTATATTCATTACAATTAATTTCGACGTATTTTGTAGTTGCGGAGATGGAACAAGCTAACCCTGCCAAGACCCAGGTTAGCTTGTTCCATCTCCGCAACTACAATGCTGGGAGGAAGCTGTCCCTGAAATGGAACGATGTCTCATTGAAACACTGCGACCACCCTGTCTACCTTGGAATCACTCTTGACCGAACCCTTTCATACAAACAGCATGTTCAAAAGGTGAAGGGTAAAGTTGGGACAAGGAACAACCTACTACGAAAACTGGCAAACTCAACTTGGGGTGCCAATTCCTCCACGCTGAGGTCAACTGCTCTTGCGTTGTGTTACTCTGCAGCAGAATATGCCTGCCCTGTATGGGGAAGATCATCCCATACAAAGAAAGTTGATGCAGCACTCAACGACAGCTGCAGATGCATCACTGGCTGCCTCAAGCCCACGAATGTGGACAGCTTGCACTCCCTGGCCGGCATTGCTCCATCCGATGTCCGCAGAACAGTTGCAAGTAGGACTGAATGCAGCAGACAAGTTGAGGACACCCGCCATCCCCTTTACTCGCATCAACCGGCCCCTACCCGCCTGAAGTCAAGGAAAAGCTTCCTTCATACAGTCCAGCCACTGTCTCAACCTCCTCATTCAACCAGAGTGATCTTGTGGGAAGAGAAACGTTCTGAAAACCACCACCATGAAAAGCTACCAATCCCGACCAAGGAACAGCTGCCCCCTGGCCATAGATGTGATTGGAAGACGTGGAAGTCCCTCAATAGGCTTCGCACAGGTGTGGGGCGATGTAAATACAACATGAATAAATGGGGATATACTGACGACACAGACACCAACTGCGAGTGTGGAACATCCGTGCAATCCATGTCACACCTATTAAGATGTCCACTCCTAAACGACCAATGCTGCCTGGAAGACCTGGTGGCAGCAAATGAGAAGGCTCTCCAGTGTGCCAAGGCCTGGCAGAGCATTTGAGGACACGAAAGAAGAATACAAAGTGTATATATCCTTTTCTTGAACATGATATTATTTATTTTTGGTGCTTGATAAATCTTTATAGATATTTATCACAACTATGAAATTTTAGATGGTTACCATTTCGTGTGTTTTTTTTTCCCCCTTTTTTTCAGTTATGAGTTATGAGTTTTTGATCGATCGGGTGGGTGGTACATGTACGACATTACTTATTATAGGCTCTGTATAAGCTTGGCTTGTTAGAACTCTTGTGAGTAATGTGCCGCGGGATTCCATATCCTTAAACTGCTGGCGAACAGAGCAACAAGACCAAGCTCTGTAATTATTAGGATCTCTGTCCAGTAGTGCCGTGTTTGTGCCATCGAACTGGATCGACCAAATCAATTGATTCATAATATATGTATATGCAATATTTTTTCCCGTAACATGAGAATAATTTTAATAGTTTCATACTATTAATTAAATGTATTGTTAACTGTAACTGTATAATTGTTTAAAATGGGGGCACGCTACAAGAGTCCTATCTCGCACCCCGGGGCAACGTGTCTGACACGGCCGGTTGTAGCAACTACTCCGAAGATCAAGATTACAGTAATCTTGATCTAAGGAGACACGAACGAACGAAATAAAAATGCGTTTGCGTGCATTGGGGCTCTCTGGGAACAGACGTGCGTGGGTTCGAATGCATTTTGGAAACAGGATTGTGTCTGGGTTACGGTCTACATTATTGTATACACTACTGTAACATGATTGTTCATGTCTACTGCCTCGCTCGGGTGACCTCGTTCAATGACCTCGTTTAATGACCTCAATATTTTAAAGTGACTATTGTCTCATTTCTTTGGTAACAAATTAATTTGCTTGCTGTATTTGCTATTTTTGCTATTTTTGCTTGTTTCACGTTGTATAATCATCTTATGTTAAGGCTTCTTGCCCACCTATTATTACTGTTACGTCCTCTACCATTACAACTACTTCAACCAAATATTAGTTTATTTATGGGAACCTATAATCTACAAGCTAAGCTTTTTAATATGTTCCTCACATTTCACTCTCTATAACCTTATATTCATTACAATTAATTTCGACGTCTTTTCAAAGAATTAATTATATAATGTGACACTTTTAGTATATTTCATATTATGTTCTATTTTTGTCAATTATGTAAATTCTTTTTATTTGTGAAATATGAAATAAACTTGAAACTTGAAACTTGAATCGATTGAATCCACAGAATTAAAACGACATTTTTCTTAACTATAGATGGATATGCCATATTGGCTCAGATGACTCAGTCGTTAAAGCGTCGATTTCTCTGTCAGACCAAAGATCGTGGGTTCGAATCCAAACCCAGGCCGGTGACTGCCTGATCGAAGCCTGTGTTATGTGTTAACGTGCCCACCCCCCCCCCCTGTTCGATAGACAAAGGCTATGTTACAATGTAAAACATTCTGTGTCCCTCGGATAGATTCACCAACCTTGCACGTCAAAAACCCACTGCACTATTCATATTTGTGTAGGATGGAAACCCTGTGTAGTGGTTCACCTAACTCATGTCAAATTCATGCAGTTACATCGGAAGTACTTTGATTCAGTTCGCTTTACCCCTCCCATGAAAAGGTGACGCCAAATAATTGATACCAAGTCCTAGTATTAATGAAGATAATAATAAACAACACCAACAATAATAATAATACAAATTTGTTTTAGTGGAAAATACAGGCGTCCCAAATCATGGTCGTCTGGGTGGCCTACAATTATCCCAAATTTAGACATATCTAAGAAAATCTAGTTGTTGAGTGATGATCAGCTGTAGACTTTCCTTACCACATAATACATTGCATTATCCTTTTAATGTACATAGGTTCTGTAAGACTGGGGGATGCTACATCATTTGGAAGAGGCAGACTGGAATACCTGGATGAAAACGAAGGTTGGGGAACTGTGTGCAACCAGGCCTGGACCCAATCAGACAGCACAGTAGCATGTAATCATCTGGGATTCAATCCTCTTAGCGCCTATGATGCCTTCCCCGCCTCTGGAGGAGACGACCTGCCGATAGTGCTTGGAGGCCTTCGATGTTCCCATCAAACTAGATTAGATGAATGTGAGAGGGATTATGACTGGACACCTGATAGCTGTATGCATTCGCAGGACGTTGGGGTACAATGCAAGCCCCGTAAGTATATAGAGTACCGAAGTGATGGTTAACCTTATGCGCAGGCTATTTTAAACCAGGAACCTGGGCGTCGTTTCATGAAACCGTCATATAACTACAAGTTCGCAATTGAAACTTGTTTTAAATTTCATATACACGTTTCATTGGGTTGTTGTATTAAGAACTCGTAATTATTAAGGTTTCGTAAAGTACGCTGCCCTGGACGACGATCGAATATCAATTTCCGCCATGAAATCATCCTAGCAACGGGCTCGAAATTCCGTAATGTAACCAAAATTATTGCATATGTCTTTGTAAAGTCACTCGATATAAATCATTCTTCAATATCTGTTACGAATAATAACTCAGTAGTCAGAGTGCAAATTGCGTATTTAGCGTGTTGTTAGGTAGGGCAAGCCATCATGTTTGTCATACCTAGTAACTCCCAAGGTACATAATTAGCATGCTGACTAAATAAAATATTCGTTATAACAGGTGAATGCAATAATTCGTATCTTAGAGGCACACTGACCAATATGAAAGATGTTGTACATCTTTGTGGATTTGGCCCGAGGCCTTTTAGCTTTCCATAGACCACCGGAGTGTGACCTCATATTGGCCAAGTTGTGTAGGTGTAAAACTGTGCTTTGCCTTGCTCCAGACCGTTGCTTGATGTTTTTTTTTAGTGGTGAACCTCGCATTTGTAACCAATAACCTGGACGACGAGCGAATGTGACGTAAAGACTCTAATATGAAAGTTACAAAGACGCATGTATCATGGTCAACGATAAGGGTTTGAATTGGGCCATTCAAGTAGACAGGTAGCCCACGCGACACCAAAAGCAGAAATATACGTGAGAAAACAGATCGAGCATGATAGAAAGATTCAAAAGGTCCACAAAACCGACCGACGTACAACGAAAACTATATTACATACGTTTGGTATATGAGTCTGATACAAGAAACGAATGTCATGTGGAATAGCATGCTTTTTGTTTGTTTGTTTAATTGTTTGTTGATTTGTCTGTTTTGAATTTTCATGTAAAGCAGCTGCAGGTAGCTTGTACGTTGTATCTTTAAAAAGTTATAACGAACAATGTAGTATCATTTGCATTTGTGCATTTTTTCGTTTTAGAAGTTTTACATTTATATACTACGTGTGTACAGAGTATATTATTTATTTCATATAATCTTTAATATTTCTTTTTTTTAAATAAAATTGTTAATGGAGTGACAATGTACACAAAGAATATCATTATCGCATCCCATTTTCAAATTGAAATCAATGGTATGTTTATCAATGTTCATTTTCCGTTTTGTTTACTTTCTTACTGTCAATACACTCCTCGCAGCTGTGGGCATGAGGTTACTGACAGAATACAATTTCGCAGGTATACCTTCTGTATATTATGGACGAACCTGGGGATTATTCTGCTCAGACAATTGGAACATCAACGCAGCTCGTATATTCTGCATTAACTATGGTTTTCAAGATGCAGTATCGATATTTGACCTGATAGGAGATCCAGCGACTCTACCGAGTACGATTGTGAACACAATCAGCTGTACAGGAGACGAAGAATACTTCACCGATTGTCCTCAGATAGAATGGGCCTATCATGGAGAATGCAGCCAGAACACTCGACTCGGTGTTGTGTGTCAAGTGGGGAAAAAATGTAAGTCCTCCTTCTCTACTTCCATCTGTAACTGTTCTGTGCTTTGTAACTTTGTACCCTTTTTTGAGAGTTGGATAATCAGTAGAGGGGTGCACTTTTTTTTTTAATCTTTCAGCTAGTATGTTATTAAATTTTGTCTGAAAAATTACATGAAATCATCTGGGAACCATCAATTGAGGAACATCTCCATTTAGTCAACCTGCTTTACCTTTCGATGGAAAATGCCCTTTCCATACTACTTTATAATTAAAAATTAAAGTTTAGGACACTATTAGTGGCGGATTCAGGGGGCACAGGGAAAAAAGGGAGAAAATTAAAAAAAGAGAAAAAGGAGTGGGAAAGAAAAAGGAGGGGAAAAGGGAAAGAAAAGGGAAGAGAGAAAGAAGAAGAAAAGAGGGAGGAGAGAAAAGGGAAGGGAAAAAAGGAGGGAGGAAGGAAGAAAGGAAAGAGAGAGAGGAGAGAAAAGGCGGAGAAGGAGAATAATGAGAAGGGAACAGAAAGAAAGGGTGATGATATTATAAGGTGTTTTTTTACCGGAAAAGGCGCGGGGAGGGGCACGCAATTTTGCAGTGTGCATAATATGGGGACCCTCTTGTCAGGCGTGTAGTCCCCCCCCCCCCCTCCCCACTCCCCCCCCCCCCAAAAAAAAAAAAAACACTGAAGAAGAACCAAAAAAAAATGGAAAAAGGGGAGAAAGAGGGAATTTGTGTGAGTAAAAGGAGAAAGGAAAACAAATTTAAGAGAATTAAGCAACGATAGAAGAGAGAGACGAGAATAATTGCTTTTCTTTTAACAGAATAATGGGATAACAACCAGTGCCGTCGCTAAAGAGGGTTGTGGGGTGCGACACGACACCCACCCCCACCCCCCCCCCCCCCCCACCTGTCAGGATATTGTCGGTAAAATTGCGCTGGTGTCGGCAAAAATGAGACAAGGGGAGAGGGAAATGTAGTCAGGTCAATATACGGTAAAAAATACCCCAACCCCAAAACAATTGCAACAAAAGGTTTTTCAACGGTTTCTAGTAGTATTTGACCTCAGGAATAACATACTAAAAGTATACCCAAATCGAAGGTTCAGAAAGCTGTTATTTCCAAGATGGCGTCCAAGATGGCCGCCGATACCTAAAAATGGCCATAAATCACTTATCCATCCTGGAGACATAATTTTGGTGTCTATCCCATGGTTTTGGGTGTCGGAGAATCCATTGAGACAAGTAAGAATGGTTTTTGATGGTCTAGGAAACACCAAAATCCAAGATGGCGTCCAAAATGGCCGCCAAAACATTAAAAATGGCCATAAGTCACTTATTATTCATCCGAGAAACATAACTGGGGTGTCTATGGTATGGTTTTCGGGGTCATAGAATCCATTAGGATAAGTGAGAGCGTTAAGCAATGGTTCAGGAAACCACGAAATCCAATATGGCGTCCAAAGGGCCACAAATCCACTAAGATTTCTCAATAGAGGGAGACCTTTATAAACAGGACACGAACTTTTAATGTTTTTCTCTCACCCTTATGGTGTCACCGACCCCGCCCCCCCCCCCCAGAAAAAAGGGTCAATTCAACTAATGAAAGGTCATTGTCAACACTGAGGGAGTGGCCGGCCGAGAGGGGGTGGGGGGGGGGGTGATAAAGAAAAAGTAACAACTTAATACTAATATCTCGACACACATTCATAATACCTATCATACAATTAAAAATGTTTAAAACCTCATGTTGTTCATGTCATCTTATAGCGAATACACATGCAGATATTCATGCTCCTTTATGTTGATGAGGAATGTAATTTAGTAAGGAAAAATCATCTTCTGCTTCAATATCAAGTGCTCGTTCTATGGATTGTGGCATACATCAACTTGGCAAGGTCCACACACACACTGTCCGTAGTATGTAGCATCTGAAGGTATAGCGAGGTGTGCTACAAGCATCAGGCACGTAGCCACGGGGGGGGGGGGGGGGGGGGGGGGGGGGCACATGCCCCCAACAATTTTCCAAGATCGGTTGAAATAATGTAGACCCCTCCCCAGGACGTCGATAAATTACATGTATGTGCCCTCTCCCCCCCCCCCCCCAAAAAAAAAAAATATATATATCAAACTCTGGCTACGGGCCTGACAAGCAGCAATACAGAAGTCGCAATGAATCAACTTAAGAAGACTACTAGGTGCAGCCTCCGTACTGACATTAATGGAACCAGATGATTGTCCTCTAATTTCCAGCCCCAGTCTGTGACGTCCATGTCTTCTCACTTTTCATCCATGCCATGGCTTGGTAGACCGGGGGAGGGGGGGGGGGCGGGGGGGGGGGGGGGGGTACTCACCTATTAAGAGGTACCGACGTGTGCCGATCTGATGACTCATTTTTCACCAAGAATCCCTAAACAAGGGTCCCATTTTTAACAAAAATATCCCTAAACATGGGTCCGTGTTTTCAAAATTTCCAAAATTTCGGATGTTTGCATTGTGAAAATTGTGAAAAGTGAGCTTTACTTCGAGAAAAATGAACCCTAAAAATAGGTAGGGGTTTCTTATCTAATCCCCCCCCCCCCACCCGGGCTTGGTAGTATGTTCTGTGGAATTGCATTTGGTGGAGGCTGACGTAGGAGGCAATTTTCTTGACGAACAAGTTGTATCGTAATGATGCAACTGAGTCATTACAGCGGCCACCAAGCATGACAGACATTGCTTTGATACCAATTTCCTCTAAGTTAGTTACTTTGGCTGACTTGGTAGAAGGAAAGTACTAGCACAGGATTCCAAAGTGAGGTTGCATTTCACAAGCTTCTGGAAGACTGCTTTCTTTCCTATTCCGCATATCCAGGAAGTCGAATCGCATCCAGAAAAAGTAGTTGTGATCACAGATCCCGTACTTAGGTCCACTTTCAACTGCTTACAGTTCTACAGCTTCGGAGCCTTGGCTGCATTGTAAGAGTGGAAGTATAGTCCCCTGCTATCTGTTCTAAGGATTTTTCGAAGTCCAGTTCCTTTCATCAGGGTACCGATCGCTTCCAGCAAAATCATGAAGGTCTGGAAGCAACCCAATTGCAAGTCAATCCCTTTCAGTGGACTATTCTGGAGTACATCGATGATGATAGCTCAGTGGCCTTCCAATATGCTGTTTTAATAGTCTCGTTCAAAAGGAAAGACAAAGCTACGACTCTGGGAGAGATTTCGAAAGTACAAATTGTACCTGAACAAACCATAAATGCTGCCTTGCTTTGCTGTTTCAACAGTTCCTGGTAGTTTAAGAAACAAGAGAACTTGAGGTAGTAGAGGTGATGAGCTTTGAGCTCAGTCCATTCCTACCTGCACTTTTCGAGGCTGGGAATGTCTTTCGGAAGGCTGAGAAACCTCAGCTAGCCCATGTTATAACCAATCATGCAAGTAAAGTGTCGGGTGAAGCCGCGTGAAAGAACACAGACCAGTATGTCCTTGATGGTGTTTCCTTCTGCATCAGATACCATGGAAGACAGGAGACAGCTTTGGCAGAATAGCACGATCATATCCTTATTTCACAACCCCCCCCCCCCCACTATATGGTTCTGCAAATGTAGTTTTTGACGCCCATGGTGGAGGGTCGTCAATTAATGATAATACACACTAGCGACGTAGGCAAAATACCCATCCAGTTGTCAGATTCAATGCAGACACAGTATTCTCAGGCAAGAAGGATGATTTTTTATCAAGAGACTGCGATAAGCAGGGACGTATGAATCTCATTAGTGAAGAACTGAGGAAGAGTAATTGCACCGTCATCAATGTATCCGGGGATACAGATGTACATATTGCTAAAGCTTCAGTGAATTCTTCTCGTCCGTCGTCAGTCTACTACTCTGATTTGAGAAGGCACTGACCTATTGGTGTTACTCTTGCATTACGCGGATGTAGATAGCAGGGAACTATATTTCCACTCTTACAATGCAGCCAAGGCTCCGAATGTGTATAACATCAAAGCAGTTGAAAGTGGACTTGGGTAAAGATCTATGCTCATAACTACTTTTTCGACATGCCTACACTGGTTGCGATTCGACTTCCAGGATATTCGGAATCGGAAAGAGAGCAGTCTTCCAGAAGCTTGTGAAATACAGCCCCACTTAAGAATCCAGTGCTAGTACATTCCTTCTTCCAAGTCAGCCATATAGGAACTAATAGAGGAACACGGGGTCGTAAAAGCAATATCTTTCATGTTTAGTTGCTGATGTAATGACTCAGTTGCATCATTACGATACAACTTGTTTGTCAAGAAAATTGCATATGCGATTCCCTCCTACGCCAGCCTCCATCAAATTCCAATCCCTCAGAACATACTACCAAGTCATTGCATGGATAGAGAGTGAATTATAAGACATGGACGTCACAGACTGGGGCTGGAAATTAGAGGACAATGATGTTGAATACAGAGGCTGTACCAAGTAATCTTCTTAAGTTGATTCATTGCAACTGTTGTACTGCCTGTAGCACACCTTGCTGTACCTGCGGATGTTACAGACTACCATGTAACAGTGTGTGTGTGGACCTTGCCAAGTTGATGTATGTCACAATCCATAGAACGAGTCACTTGATAGTGAAGCAGAAGATGATTTTTCCTTAGTAAAGTACATTCCTCACCAACATGAAGGAACATGACGATCTGCATGTATTAAGATAAAATGATCAACACGAGGTTTTAAACATTTTTAATTGTTTGGTAGGTATTATTAATGTGGGTCTAGATATTATTATTAAGTTGTTACTTTGTCTTTGTCACTCACCCCCCCCCCCTCGGTCGGCCACTCCCTCAGTGTTGACATTGACCCTTTTTCTAGGGGGGGGGCGGAGTCAGTGACACCATAAGGATGAGAGAGAAACATTAGAAGTTCATTTCCTGTTTATAAAGGGCGCCCTCTATTGAGAAATCTTAGTGGTTTTGTGGCCCTTTGGACGCCATATTGTATTTCGTGGTTTCCTGAACCACTGCTTAACGTTCTCACTTATCCTAATGGATTCTATGACCCCGAAAACCATGGCATAGACACCCCAATTATGTTTCTCGAATGGATAATAAGTGACTTATGGCCATTTTTAATGTTTTGGCGACCATTTTGGACGTCATCTCGGATTTTGGTGTTTCCTAGACCATCACAAATCATTCTTACTTGTCTCAATGGATTCTCTGACCCCCAAAACCATGGGATAGACACCAAAATTATGTCTCTAGGATAGATAATAAGTGATTTATGGCCATTTTTAGGTATCGGCGGCCATCTTGGACGCCATCTTGAAAATAACAGCTTTCTGAACCTTCGATTTGGGTATACTTTTAGTATGTTATTCCTTAGCTCAAATACTAGTAGAAACCGTTGAAAAACCTTTTGTTGCAATTTGTTGGGGTCAAACCATATCTTGACCTGACTAATGAGAGGGAAGGGAAAAAAGAAAAAAATGAAAAGGACAAGAAAAGAAAAGAAAGGAAAAAGAAGAGAAGAAAGAAAGAGAAAAAAGAAAATGAGGAAGAATAAGAAAGTAAGAAAAAAGAAAGAAGTACAAAAAGAAAAGGAGAAAATGAAAAAAAAGAGAAAAAGGAAACAAAAGAAACAGGCGCGGGAGGGGGGCAACTCAACTCAGACTAGGATTATCAGTCGAGAAGGGTACAACAAATCGTCTTCTTTCTCTAGTAATTAATTTAAACGTGTAAGCTTCCGCGCTTCGCTTCAGACAAGGATTAAGAGTAATAGTTTTTAAAATAATAACTTAGTTCCTGGCCCCGGGTTTATAGGGTTAAATTTGTTTGGACATTGGTGGCTAGTTTTGTCGGTAATCGGTGGCCTCTACACCCCGCCTCCCCCCCCCCCTGAAAAAGGTCTAGCGACGCCCCTGATAACAACACAGTTCATACACTCGAGATAATTTTTCAAGTACTACTGGTGAAGTACGAGACAACCGTTTTTGTGCATTGTGCAGCAACAAAGCATTTACAACGTCTCGCGACGTGACAGATCCCTTTTCTCTAAATCCTACCCAATCAGAAGTAAATGTGGTTCTCAAATTGCAAGAGATCCCTACTCTTGGAGGGGTTATGAGCAAGCAATATTACGTCATATTACTCCAGGGAGTACCTGAAAATGCGCTTAATGTGGTTCTAAAATTGCAAATGCTTCCTATTCTAATAAGGGGTTTTGACCACCTCCCTGACGCCTCGCTTTGTCGCTTCGCTCTATCGTTTTTCCTATATTTCACCCTATGCGATGTTGTGCCCCTCCCTTCCCGGTAAGAAATTCCTGGATCCACCACTGACTTTACTCACTGACAGTTAAGGCTGTTTTTCAAGTATTTTCCTGTATTTAGTTTTCTGAAGTTGTATCTGCATGACTGTTAGTTAAAATGTTTATTTACTTGTCACGTTATTACACTGCTTACAGCACTTAGCATCGTCAACCCGAATCCTGATTACCCTGAATACGGTCGAGTAGAAGTGACCGTCAACAAATTGTTCAAAGGTACCATCTGTAACAAGACGTGGGACCAGGCTGCAGCTAATGTGGTCTGTCGTGATCTTGGTTTTAAGCGAGGAGCGCAAAGGTTCTTCACCATCGGAGGAGAGGATAAAGGAGACATATTCGACAGCGTACACTGCACTGGGGATGAAGACAGTTTTAGCGATTGTCGGAGTGAGTTGGTCCCAGAATCACGTTCGGACTGCAATCACACTCAAGACGCTGGCGTCGAATGTGTCGGTAAGTGTGGTGTGGTAACCTATTCAAGACTGGCTCAGATATGACGCGGTAAAACACCGCATGAATAAAGATACGCGCAAAAAAGGTTGTATGCCTACACACTAAACATTGTGTTATAGGATTAAGAAATGTGAAGCGTATACACTTAATTCTTATCATGCCACGGGGCTAATCCCCATTGTGACAAGCCCCAAATCTCCCAGTGCCAAGTTAATATTCATATAATATGATTAACGCGATGGTTCTATGAATAGCGCGTGCAAAACACACAGCACACTACAATGAGCATGAATAATAACTCCTACTACAAATGTGTGAAATCACGCACATGGCAGCATAACAATGGTTTGCTCGCATGTACAAAACACTATAACGTTAGAGTGCATGCAGCCTTAAGGCAGGCTATGAGTTAAAGGGCAGTTGAATTCTTGTTTATAAGACCGCAAATGCCTTCAAAGTGCATGGTTACAAATTGCATGGTTATTGCTCTTATTCTTATTTATGACATTTCTAGTGCACTTTTAAAACCTAAAACTGCTATGAAGATATTTTAGAACCCAAAATGTGTGAATTTAAATTGAATACGATCATTTCAATTCAGTTCCACTTTCATAAATTAATAATAACAATCAGTGGCGTACGCAGGATTTTTTTCAAGGGGGGGGGGGGGGTTTAAAATCAAAAGGGGGGGTTTTCCAAAAAAAACTTACATAAAACATACACATAAAAAAAACTCGAGGGGGGGGGTTAACCCTAAAACCACCCCCTGCGTACGCGCCTGATAACAATACACGGGCCGGTTGGTTATGCGTATTATGACCAACACGAAAAAGCTAACAAAAAGACAATATTGACATTGGCTCGAATAAAACGCATAAGGTGCTATCTCGTTTATCAACGGCTGGTTCAAAATTACCGAATATTTGTGGGGCACCATAATTATCAAAAATGGTTATATTTATGGATATTTCAGTCGTCTCTGAACTGATTTTGATCAAACAAAGATGATGTTGTCATTTGAATTGTATATTTCAAAATTTGACACACATTTTTATTATCTTACCAATTTGTGTTTGTGTGTAGCGCCCTTTGCAAAAAAACTCAACTATCCTTTTAACTATGTTATCATGAAGAAGAAAAAAATGGAGAAACGAAAATCGCGATTAACCACCTCATTTCTAAACGATGCTCAAAACATGTTTAGGCGGATGTATGTGTGCGTTAGTCCGTGGTTCATCAGACCAATTACAAATGTAATGTTTTATGAGCTTTTCCAACTGTTACTGAATACCACTTATTACAGGTAAGAAAATCAAAATCACTTATTCGGAACTAGTGTTTAATTTTCTTATTTGCATGCGAAATCAACTTTTCTATGCAAGATAGGGTATATGCCCTGAAGTTTTCACCATACGTTTCGATCTCGTTCCATCTGTCCTGTCCAGCAAACGACGACACATTGATTGTCTTCTTAAGAGGTGCAGGTTCCTATGAGGGCTTGGTGTATTACCGAGTAGAGGATCGACGTGCTTTGATATGTGATCAGACATGGACTGACAAGGAAGCCGCTGTGGCATGTCGTATGCAGGGATACGAATGTGGTACAGCAACCAAAGTAGTCGATCTAGGACCAGAAGTTTCTACTAATATCTTACAATGGGATATTGTGTGTAATGGCAATGAAGAAAGACTAAAAGACTGTACTGTGACAAAAAGAGACAACCCGACCTCATGCACTCCTGAAAACATTGCTCAGGTTAGATGCGGACCAAAGGAAGGTAAGATATATCAGTCTCATCATCTTAACATTAATGACTTGACAACTATTCATGGGTGTTCAGTTTACATGAAGCAATATCCCGGTCCACCTCCTCCCGCCCCACTTTTTCAAGTGACCCCAAAGTGCCACTATTTTCCTCGGAAAATGTGCCCAATATTATGTCGGATTAGTGCCCCGTTTTTCATTGCAATAAGTGCCAGTTCACTTAATCCTTATTAATGTCTCTTACCACCTCTGATAACTGATATCATCAGGAAAGAACGACAATAAATTCCTCCTATACCTGACAGCTGCTAGCTATACAGCAATCGATACAACATGTGAAGCGCATGCTGCTGAATGTAAAATAGAACTTTAATCATGCATCAATACGGTACCACCGTACGGTATGCGTAGAGGTGCTGTGGGCCAGTGGATAAGTCTCCGGACTTTGAACCACAGGATACGGGGTTCAACTCCCTGCATGTTGCAGCACTAATGTCCTTTGGCAAGATATTAATCTACATTTCCCACATTCCACTTATAGGTAAATGGGCACCCGGCAAGAATTAATACATTGAAATAAATTGAATTGTTCGAGCGCTGTAGTGGCAATGTGCCAGACACGGGCGATATACAAGACTCCACTATTATCGTTATTATTATTATTTTTTTTTGTTATTATAAACATAATTTATAAATGAATTATTGTTGTTGTTATTATTACACATAAAATGGTACCTATATATATGAAATAATACGAAATATTCCACTTAATGCTATCATTCTTTTTATATAAAACAAGGTTTGACCTTGCGGACGACTAAAAGTGAGAATTCGGAGCAAGGACAGTTGGAAATTTACGAAAACGGAGAATGGTCCAAAGTTTCGGTAGATCCTAGGATAAGTGGTTACGGCAGGCCGTATTCAACCATGTGGGATTATGAGACGTTGTGGTATAGAAGGTGGTTGTTGCATCATTACAATAGAGAAAATCCGATGCCTTCCCGAGGAAGTTTACTTGATACAGGAGTCCGGTGTCAGCGTAATCCCTTAGACAACAAAATGCACTGTCGTCACCATACTGATAGAACTGGACATGGTGCCTTTTCCAAGGCACGCATCGTGTGCAAGCTCTATGGTACGTCTGATGCCTGTCATAGGCTTTTCTTTGTTTTTCCTCACTGCCAAGGGTACTTGTTTAAATCCGAGGGGGGTGGGGGAGCATCCCTCCACTTTTTGTTTAAGCTATGGTCACAAAACCAAAAAGTAGCGGCCGGGCGGCGAGTTTTGAGCCAATTTTGCCCGGGCACCGAGCGGCGGCCGCCCGTCGCCGCTTGTTTTTAAGACATCGCTCGGTCGCTGCTGAAGCAGTCAGGTCAATATACGGTAAAAAAAACACCCCAACCCCCCAAAAATTGCAACAAAAGGTTTTTCAACAGTTTCTAGTAGTATTCGACCTCAGGAATAACATACTAAAAGTATACCAAAATCGAAGCTTCAAAAAGCTGTTATTTTCAAGATGGCCGCCGATACCTAAAAATGGCTAAAAATTACTTATTATCCATCCCAGAGACATAATTTTGATGTCTATCCCATGGTTTCGGGGGTCAAAGAATCCATTGAGACGAATAAGAATCGTTTTTGTCTTTGTGATTGTCTAGGAAACCCCAAAATCCAATATGGCGTCCAAAATGGCCGCCATAACATAAAAAGGCCATAAGTCACTTATTATCCATCCTAGAGACATAACTGGGGTGTCTATGCTATGGTTTTCGAGGTCATAGAATCCATTAGGATAAGTTAGAACGTTAAGCAGTGGTTCAAGAAACCACAAAATCCAATATGGCGTCCAAATGGCCACAAAACCACTAAGGTTTCTCAATAGAGGGCGCACTTTATGAACAGGAGATTAACTTATAATGTTTCTCTCTCCCCCTTATGGTGTCACCAACCCCCTCCCCCCATCCCCCATCCCCCAGAAAAAGGGTCGATTTAACTATTGACAGGTCAATGTCAACACTGAGAGAGGGGGCCGAGGAGGGGGGGGGGGGTGGTGACAAAGACAAAGTAACAATGTAAATGTAAATCAATAATGATAAATCAAAATCGATTTTAGCAACTCTTTACCAAAAAATGTATATTCTTATCTCAATTGCATTAACCATCATGCACTTTTTTGTTTAAATTCAATCCTTTTACACGTATATATTACTGATAACATTTAAGAGATAGTATTTCATTATACTCAAATGTTTATAAGTTTAACTCTAATATGTTGGAGTATGGCAGATACCTCATTTTCTGTTCGAATGCTTCTATACAAGTATGCCCAAGACATTTGGGCAGAAACAGTTTTTTGTATTTATATTTTATTAAGTTGCCCCGTAGCATTTTTCTGTTTTCATGTACCTCAATTGACTGTATTTATTCAACAACATTTTTACCTCAATAAGTGTTATTCGGAGATGTGTGGATTTATCGATGGCGGATGATATAAGTCCCATTAAATGTCCAAATGTTAGATGCGAATATTATGGGTCAATATCGCTATTCATAAGGACCGCTATTCATAAGGTTTGCTATTTATAAGGTCCACTGTTCGTAAGGACCGCTATTCATAAGGTCCGCTTTTCATAATTGGAGAAAAGGGTCATTATTCATAAGGGTCGTTGTTCATAAGGACCGCTATTCATAATCAAAGAAGAGGGTCGGTATTCATGATATTAGAAGAGGGTCGCTATTCATAATACGAAATCGGGGTCGTTATTCATAAGGGTCCCTATTCATAATATTAGAGAAGGGTCGTTATTCATAACACAGAAAGAGGGTCGCTATTCATAATGCAAAATGAGGGTCGCTATTCATAAAACGAAATGAGGGTCGCTATTCATAATAGGAGTAGAGGGTTGCTATTCATAATACGAAATGAGGGTCGCTATTCATAATAGGAGAAGAGGGTCGCTATTCATAATAGTAGAAGAGGGTCGCTATTCATAATAGGAGTAGAGGGTTGCTATTCATAATACGAAATGAGGGTCACTATTCATAACAAAAAATGAGGGTCGCTATATTTATAATAGGAGTAAAGCGTTGCTATTCATAATACGAAATGAGGGTCGCTATTCATAATAAGAAATGAGGGTCGCTATTCATAATACGAATGAGGGTCGCTATTCATAATAGGAGAAGAGGGTCGCCATTCATAATAGGAGTAGAGGGTCGCTATTCATAATACGAAATGAGGTTCGCTATTCATAATAGGAGAAGAGGGTCGCTATTCATAATAGGAGAAGACGGTCGCTATTCATAATACGAAATGAGATTCGCTATTCATAATAGGAGAAGAGGGTCGCTATTCATAATACGAAATGAGGTTCGCTATTCATAATAGGAGAAGAGGGTCGCTATTCATAATAGGAGAAGACGGTCGCTATTCATAATACGAAATGAGATTCGCTATTCATAATAGGAGAAGAGGGTCGCTATTCATAATACGAAATGAGGTTCGCTATTCATAATAGGAGAAGAGGGTCGCTATTCATAATAGGAGAAGAGGGTGGCTATTCTTAATAGGAGAAGAGGGTCGCTATTAATAATACGAAATGAGGTTCGCTATTCATAATAGGAGAAGAGGGTCGCTATTCATAATACGAAATGAGGTTCGCTATTCATAATAGGAGAAGAGGGTCGCTATTCATAATAGGAGAAGACGGTCGCTTTGCAATCCCATTCTTAGCATCACATAGGTCCCGCCAATTAGCCTGCAGCAAATGGAAGCTACACAGCAACAGGGTTGACTTCGGGTAAATATCTCCAACCCATAGGAAAGTGAAAAGTATGCCGCAGACCTGCCGCAGACCTGCCGCAGATCTGCGGCAGACTTTTAGTCTGCGGCAAAGAGTATGCCGAATACCAGTATGCCACAGGAACAGTCTGCGGCAGATCTGCGGCAGGATGAAACTTTGCTCCAGACTTGCCGCATACCAGTATGCCACAGGAACAGTCTGCGGCAGGATGAAACTTTGCTCCAGACTTGCCGCATACTAGTATGCCTCAGGAACGGTCTGCGGCAGGGCGAAACTTTGCTCCAGACTTGCCGCATACCAGTACGCCACAGGAACAGTCTGCGGCAGGTCTGCCACAGAAAAGTGGGAAATTATACAGTCTGAAGCAAGGCTAGTGGCGGCCATTTTGTAGGACATGCAGTAACATATGAGGTTGCAGGCTGAGCCCATGATCTTGTAAATTCCTTTGTTAATTAGCACTGTAAATTGTCTTTTTAGCTTCTGTCAAACCAAACAATTTGCTTCAAGTTCAACTGGTACCATGAGAGGAATTTATTACATAAGAGGAGACTGAGGAATTAAAGGACTGTTTCAAACTTTTTTGTTGTGCCATATGTGATCTTATCTTCAGCTCCACTAACTCACTTTTTTGTTGTAACTACCCAAGACGAAAATCCAATTGAAACTAATTGAACACCAATTGAATTTTCAATTGGTTTCAATTGGTCTCAATAGGTTTTAACAGGTTTCAATGGAACTAGTTTAATAGGACTTCAGATGGTTTCAATTCGTCCAGATTGTCCCTATTGGACCAATTTGGCCCATTGGCCCCATTGGCCTATTAGACTATAGGGCATGGGGTCAAAAGAGCTTCCTAAGATGATTTTTGTAGTCTCCTCCTTGTGACTACCTAAACTATGGCTTAAAATGTTGGTATTGTGTGTCTTATCAATATTCTGATAGTTCTCACTTCCAGAAGTGGAGCACTTCCGAAAAAATGGCGCCCAAAACAAAAGATCTAAAAACAAGCATTCCTTCATAAAAGGACTGCATCCGGTGCAAGTGATTTTCACTAATACAGGTTGTAATTGGTTTTAATCAGTGAATGTGATACCGCTTTTGCGGTCTAACTTCATATTTATTGTACAAAATATCTATAGGGAAGATTTAATATTTCACAAAACACTATATAGTTGAGGAAATTTGCATGAAAATGACATTATACGTAAAGTACGTATACAGCCAAAATACGTAAGTTTGACATTTTTCTGCAACAAAGCCTGTAATAATTTAATTATTCTGAATGAGGAAGTTCATTTACAAGCAATAAATATTACAATAAAAACAAACTTTGCTTTGTGCTGCTTCTTTAGTTTGATGAACAATACATACAGCATTCATTTAACTTAAGGCAGAGCCATGCTGCTGGGAGCTGTTAGGACCTGGTTCTCATAGCGCATGTTGTAGTCTGCTGGGAGCTGCATGTTACTGGTGTTATGACCTGGTTCTCCTCATCTTTAGGCTACAAAGACATAAAATGAAAAGCTTATTAGATATTTAGCTAACTTTAAAAGAATTATTATTAGTTTTATCATGCTGCTGTATTTTAATGTGAAGGTGAACTGTGCGGCATTTCACAATACACTGTATAGTTGATGAAATTTGAATGAAAATGACATTTTAAGCTAAAAATATGTAAATTTGTCATTTTTCTGCAACAAAGCCTGTATTGATTTAACAATTATTCTGAATTACGAAGTTCATTTACAAACAATGAATATTACA